TTGTGTGTTTGTGTGCCTGAGTGCGTATGCGTGTGTGTGTATGCGTGTGTGTGTGTGCGTGTGTGCGTGTGCTTGTGTGTGTGTCTCTGTATGTATGTGTGTGTGTGCGTTTCTGTAATAGGAAGGTAATCTCTATTTCGTGGCTGAATAAAACTGTGTGCCATGGAAGCATCTCAAATAGGCTTGCCGGAAACCTTTTAATTCTGTTTGTTGAGTAAATCTAAATCGTGTTGAATTTCGTGGATTTTAACTTTAACAAGACAAAAATCGACTATTATCCAAGGCGACTAAAGAATGTTTGAGGTATGATATGACAATTCGAATATTCCAAAATCCATTACTGACAGTGCGAAGGATGGTATATGTCCCACCATACTCGTTGCAAATGGATTTGTTATAATCGTTTTAACAAGGCAATACCGATTTTCATAAAAGGCGACTAGCGAAAGTCAGAGGAAATATTTGAGAATGCGACTGTCCCAAAAATCTACACCGATAGTGCGAAGGAAGGCATATGCACAACTATGCACATTACTTTCAGAATTTGATGGATTTGATGGCCATTTTGAGTACTTTCACGCGGTTCACGTTGTCAAAGCACCAAGGACCCTGACATCACTCTCTATAGCGTAGACCGCATAAAGGATTCGAGCGCCGAGTGACATCACACAGATGGATACGATGCAGGTGTGTTCAGTCACGAAAACTTTCTCCACCATATGTACTTATGATTTGGAGGAACGGCACGCTATTCCAGTCATCTGTGTATGGATTGGGATACCATTCACCCCTTGTGCTTGGAAAACTAGCCCAGAGCCAATTACACCAATGTATCCAAAATGCTGATATGAACTCTATTTCAAATATATTCTGTGCATAGGTAGAACGAATTTCAATAAATTGTCCAAACGAACCCCCCCCCAAAAGCAACAACAGGATGCACCCAATCAATCTCTCTATTTACATGACGATTTGCTATGAAGTTTTCAATTCGTTGTGCATCCTCATCATGTAAATAAAAGAACTTGTTTTTCTATTTCACCCTGGATCGGACGCCCGGAAGAAATTGAAATTGTGTAGACAGTCGTGCTCTGTAGTTTCGAGTCTTTCCAAATTGAACCGGACACGTTTATATAATACTGCGTCTATTACTGCGTCAATGGTCTAGGCCAAGGCATTTTTCCGATTTGACGACGACAACTATTATCGACCATTTAAGCCGAGATCAAGACAAAGGCAAAGTATCTGAAAGCGCTACAACGCTGAACACTCCACGCGAACAATGACGGCACGGTTATATGGTTCATAAGTATAGTGTCATTACTCTGAGAGAGCACAGCCCACATCTGCGGAGGTAAGGAAAATAATAAATAATAAAAACTGTCCCGATTGTAGCACCGTTTTTCGGAAAAGGGTTTCCTTTTATTGAAAGTACAGGCCAAAAGCCAGCCTACAAGAGTCCCTTATACTTTGCCAGTTCGGCATTCATCAAGGCACCCCCCGCCGCACCTAGAATGGTGTTGTGTGAGAGGATGGTGAGCTTGAAGTCGAACAGACTGCACGGGCGCACTCGCCCCACAGTGACGGTGTAGCCCTTGCCGGCGTCTCGGTCTAAGCGGGGTTGTGGGCGATCAGGCTGAAAGAAGTGAAAGATGAATTAGTTGGTGCATAGAAGATGAATTAGTTGATGTATAGAAGATGAATTAGTTGGTGCATAGAAGATGAATTAGTTGATGCAGAGAAGATGAATTAGTTGATGCAGAGAAGATGAATTAGTTGATGCAGAGAAGATGAATTAGTTGATGTATAGAAGATGAATTAGTTGCTGCATAGAAGATACACTAGTTGATATAATCAGGGTTAGGGATTTGTGAGCAAGTTTGTACATGCCCAGACAGATTGCAAACTGCACAGGTTCATGATGGACCTGCACTGCACGCACGTGAGTGATCCAAAATAGCACGTTAGTGATCCAAAATAGCACAATGCGCAACTGCTTCAACTATCATCTTGTACGCTCACCAAAACTAGATCTAGCGCCACAGACGGATAGATGTCTCCACTACCACAGAAAAGGATGATCACAACTTCACAAGCCATCGACTGCACACGTAGGTGTGTGAACAATGTGTTCAGTTCCGACAACTAAGATAAAGATAGCACACCAGCTCCTGAATCGAGGACACTGGTCACAGGACAGGAAAAATATCTGAAGACAATCGGCGATGGCTGTCACGAGTGCTCGAGAACGGCACATTGCAAACCAGCGATACAAATTCCCCCAGGCACAACCAACTCTCCAGGCACTCACAGACGCTCAGTACACTCACGAGGTGCCATTTAAGTCGACACAGTCCAAACTGAAGACTTAGAGACGACGGTTTGGTTTTTGCACCTGTGCAAGTTACAAACTTGCGCATGCACACATCATTGATACTAACCAACACACTAGTTCGTTGTATACTATACACTGCTCAACACACCTTTTCGTTGTATACTATACACTGCTTTGGTGCGGAGGGCAGACCCATTCGCTGCGCCTCGCAGGTGTAGCTTTCCATAGCGGTAATCACCTCCTCAGTGGTGGGCGAGCCTTTCAGCTGCAGTGTGCGGGAGTGATAACATGTTTTAAACTATTGCTGATTGCTGGCGTGGTTATTGGTTACAAAAAACGGCACTATCCGTGATTGTATACACAAGCGCGACGGACGCTGTCGATGTACGGACGTATATGGCATCAACCCCATTTCACGATCTTGCCCCACCAACTTAGCATTTACTATAGACCAGGTTCCTCACACAGACAAGGCTCTTCAACAAGTAGCCGGAGACGCACAAGCAGCCCATGCGAAGCCAGGTACATTACAGGGAAACGAATAAGATTGTACTGACAAGGTGTAGCTGTGCGATTGTAGTTATATCTCGACTCCAAAATCTCTAACAGATTACATGGATGCACGTTCACCGATGCATACAGTTGTCAATACAATGTACAACTCCGCTGACCAGTGCACACTTCAGGACAACTACAGCGGCGTACGACACACTCATGCACGCACAATAAACCCAATAGTACGTAAACGTACAACAAACCCAATAGTATGTCAAAGTATCATAAACACTGGTATTAACACACGCACAACAAACCCAAAATAGTACGTCAACGTATCATAAACACTCGTGTTAACACACACACGCACAACAAACCCAATAGTACGTCAACGTATCATGAACACTTGTATTAACACACACACGCACAACAAACCCAATAGTACATCGACGTATCATAAACACTCGTGTTAACACACACACACACCTTGACGCTAAGACACTCCAGGTGCCCGTCAGACACAGCAACGCGGTTACAGTGTGCGCTGATCTTGAAGTCCTTGTCGGTGAACCCGTTTTGATCGAATGAGCCCAGAATCTTCTTGGGTTCAATCTCCAGCTTCTCTTCCTCGCCCGAGATGTACGGTACTACGTTGTCAATGATGTCAATGGACGGCACTCCGGGGAAGCCTGCGCCGCTGATAGCTTGCATGGTGGTGACCATACACGCTTCTAATCCGAAGGCGTCGTCGAGTACTGCAGTGGAAGGGGTGGCAAAGAAAGTGTCGGTAGGTGTTTAGCGTAACACTCCCAGTCAATTCAGCCATTAAATAAGACACCTATTCAATTCAGCCAGTAAATAAGACACCTATTCAATTCAGCCATTAAATATAACTCCCAGTCAATTCAGCCATTAAATAAAATCCTATTCAATTCAGCCATTAAATAACAATCGTATTCAATTCAGCCATTAAATAACACTCCCATTCAATTCAGCCATTAAATAACAATCCTATTCAATTCAGCCATTAAATAACACTCCCATTCAATTCAGCCATTAAATAACAATCCTATTCAATGTTACACAGACTACATGGGATACTATACGCACTCCATCTATGTCACACACACTATTGGGTATAATATACGCACTCCATCTATTTACACAAGTACATTATACGCACTCCATCTATGTTACACGCTCTATAGGGTATATTATACGCACTCCTGGACATACCCTATTCCTGAGTTCTACACAAGTACCTGCCAATGTCCAAACCGCGCTTGCATGCAGTACGACATCCACACACAACTCCGCACATACACGTCTATTGCATACGTGTTGTATGGTCTAACTTATACGTCTGTTGCATGCGTGTTACATACTCTTCACTTACCTTTGAGTGGCACAGTCAGTCCAGTGCTTGAGCAGTTGGCGTTAGTGACAATGAATCCTGTGGTGAGGCCGTTCGCCTTCTGTTGTGCGGGGATGATGTCTAGATGGTCGTCGTTGACGGTCGGCACCACTAGAGGGACGTATTGATCGTATCTGTGGGTCGTGTGAGGAGAGTGTGATGGGCTATACTATCAAACACCAGCAAAGTTGCTTCATAGTCAGCAAACTGCACCCAGTACTTTGACGGATACGTATGTATCATGGGAGGTATCGCACGCCACAGTATTATAGTACTGCATAGAAGTATGCATACTATGAGTGGCTTTACAGACAAGACAGTGTATAGAAGAGCCTCTCATGACGGTAGGTGAGTTGATGATGTGATTACCAATTTGATTCACGAGCGCTTGATCAAAGGTAGATAGTCAATACGAGAGGCTCGGGGGGGGGGTGCCCCGTTCACTATCACCACGCATCGATTGAACTTCGAATGTACGACAGAGAATATGTAGACTATGTATACCTCAACACTTCAGAACCGAATATAATGATATATATATATATATATTCACCTCACACTGAGATGATCATAAGTTGCCGTATAGTGCCTTCGTGAGCGATGCCAGGTGAGTCTATTACAATGTTCCGTATGCATTACGGGTAGGGCTGTGTACGAAGTGGTGCCTAATGCGTGCCGCAGTCTAGGCAAGGGCAACCAGATGCATCTGCATTATCGTCAGCCGTAGGTTGAAACCCCGCAAAAGTACAAGCGCTCAACTAACATCATTTATGCAACGTTGACTTGGTACATTCAGCGAATTCTATGATTCTTTCCGAGGGCCTCCTTTACTTTCGAGATTTCTTATTAAAACTAAGCGAAGAATTTGGCTAAGCAACGGAAGTGCGACCCAATAATAATGGGATCTCATCCTATGCCAATATAGGGACAAGTGGCGGAAAACTACGCGGATATATAAGAACTATGCTTCAATCAATAAACCACCGTGTGTGTATTACTCCGTCTCGACGCGTCCACATGAATATTAAACACTTTTAAAAGTAAAAGTTCATTGAATTAATGAAGTTTATTCTTTAATGTACGTACGTCGTGCTATAATACGTACATATACGCACACACATGTGGAACTCAAAAGACGCATACGTACACAAAAATGTATGGCATATAAATGCATATGTTATCTATATAAAATATACGTTTTCATATGCATTTATACCTAAACTCACACACACCTTATATATATATATATATATATAGACAATACAAACCTTCGTATGTAAACAGATATGTATATATATGAACATTCAGTGACAATATAGAAGTAACGATACACGCTACCGTACACGTACACAAAGGTGCTTATAAACGTGAAGAAGTACGCAATACATATATAAATATATAAAGATGGGTGGGTACACATACACGTTCACCGAAAAATCATGTAACGGACTAAACTCAGAACATCACCGATAGCTATATACCGCTTAAATAATCCGACGTAACAATACCGTGTTGCACACACACCTGTGGTTGCGCGAGTTAGAAAACACCGCCATGCCGGCTTTGCAGAATGCTGTCTCGACCTCACCGGCGACTGAGCTATCTAATCCCGAAAACACCAATCTACATCCATCAAAGTGTTGAGGTTCGCATGGAGAGACCATGATTGATCCAATATTGCTAGGAATCTCAGAGGTTTGTCTCCAATTCACAGCCGCTTTAACGTAGGGTTTACCTGCGGAGCGTTCACTTGCTCCCAGAGCAGTTAGTTCAAACCATGGGTGGTCAGCCAACAGCTGCACAAAGCGTTGACCAACCATTCCGGTGGCACCGAGCACTCCCACCTTAATTTTCTGTCCTTCTGTCATGGCGTAGAATGCGTATGTGGAATCCGTGTAAGTATTGTGAGCTCTAACCAGACATATTTATATATATTTACGTGCATAAAGTATACACCTTAATATTTTACCCTTCAAGTATTTGCTTTGTTCGTGCACCTCCACGGGGGGGGGGTCATATGATTAAAAAAAAGTAAAATCAATGACAGCCTAATAGGCTATACACACCGGATAACACTCGCCAGATTGGCAGTGAGGACTGTCGCACAGGTGAGTGACATCAGACCCTGACCCCATTTTATATTCATTTTTTCTGCGTCGTTTGTGTTTACATATTTACAATATTGTTTTTATAATAAACAAAAAATAGCCCAAATTTCATCTCCCAATTTCACAGTCACCCAATTTTTTATTGTTGTTATATTTTTGAAAATGAAATTGCCGACTATATTTTCTATAAATAGATTTGTAAATATGAAATAGAACACCATGAAAATACGTATAAAATAACAAAATACGTATCTATTTTTGATTCCATCACTCTCTCTGAGAAAGAGACCACTTGGTCGGCATTTAAAATCAAAACCCTACAATCGCAGACGACCTCTCGCCAGTGCCTCTCGCCTTCAGTTGGTCGCGTGAGACGAGATTTGATTTTACGCGATCTGTCCTAATATTTTAGGCTATATGCGATCGCGCTGATATCGCGCTGATATCACCCAAAAAAAACTTACCACGAACGTACATGTTTATATTTAACAACCTTGTGTGGAGTGAGGGCTATTGAGATTAGTTCAGTTATCATTTCCTCGAGAATACACACAATGCTAAAGCCGAAAGTTCTAGGAGAGGTTCTGGCCCAGGCTAATACTAGCGGTTGCTTATACACTGTGTAAGTTGGTTTCTGTGTGTATGATATATGGGCTAAGAACATCTACAATGGATAAGTGTTTTGCTTAATTACAACAGTACTTGACAACCGCACGCTGCGTTCGATAAATTTTCTAATGCCGTGTATATACCATGTAGTCATATCAATTATCGATACTCTTTCCGCAGCTAAGA